TTCACCAAAATAATTATACTAGTAGAATTCCTATTCCCTAAGTGAAAAGGGGCCCCTGTATGCTGTATTTTTAGCCAGATTCACTTAGGAAGGAAGCCTGTTGATATAGTGCCCAGGAGCTACCTACTATGTTTTATTTTTTATTTGTTTATATTAGGTATACATTTGGCTTATACTTACTTGGAAGTAAAAATGCATTTGAGCTAATAAAAATAACTAAAATGGATTGAGGACTTTTTTTCCTTTGATTCACAGTCTTAACTCATCTAATCTTTAAAGCAACAGTATGATGAACGTATTTGATAATGAGGCACGAAGAGATGAACATCTAAGTGGCAGAGTTGGGTTAATTCGGAACCTGGGCTTTGGTGACAGGGTATGCTCTTGGGAAGTTGTGCCAGAGCAGATGTCTCTGTGGTGATGAAGAATCCCACTCCCTCTGCCCTGACTAAATGTAGAATCTTGAGAAATATGATGTGTTTCAAGATAGCTGACTGGGATTTCCTGACTTGCCCGAGTCAGAGGTGGTCATAGTGCAAAGACAGCAACTCAGCCACCTGACTCCAGGCCCATGACATAAACCGCCGACAGAACAATGCAGTTTACTTTCTGCTAAGTTACTAATTCACAACAGTGTGTTAGGAATTCTTTGCAGTATAAGTCTATACACATATGTACTGGAAAAGAAGAGACGAAGAATGAAGGCAGTTGTATTCTCAAGGCCTAGCACAATGGCTAGTAAATAATGTGTGTTTAATAAACATTTATTGAATGATGACTAAGGGTTCAGGGAAGGGGTAAATCACTTTGGATTGGAGTGGATAGCTAAGGTAAGGCTTGAATCTTCAACTGAGCCTTGAGTCATGAGAGAGATTTGAATAGGCAAAGAGTTAGGTAGGAGGGGGTACCAAATGGGGAAAAAAAGTCATATAAAGATCCTTGCAAGTAGGAAAGAAGAAGCCCTTTTCTGAGAAGAATATGTAAAGCAGATAAATTGGAACGTGTTTTCGGTTAGACCATAGCCCTTGCATTTGTCCTTATATCCATTCATCCATCCATCCATCATCCATCCAGACATCCAGTCATCCATCCATCCATCATCCATCCAGACATCCAGTCATCCATCCATCCATCCATCATCCATCCAGACATCCAGTCATCCATCCATTCATCCACCTATCCATCCATCCAAACATCCAGTCATCCATCCATCCATCCAAACATC